TACGTGCCGTGTGATGGCACCCAACATGATCTGCTCCATCACCTTCCCCAGCACCAAGGTCAGGCTGACAGGCCCGTAGTTCCCTGGATCCTCCTTCCAGCCCTTAGATTTCATACGAAGTGCAAACCAACCTGAGTTATTTACCATTGCAGGTTTATTACTGTTTTACACTTAGATTTCAAAAACATGACAGAAGTTTGTCCTTTTCTCTCACCTGCACTTAACTGGTTACTTGGGATTGTCATTGTAGTATTTTTTAATGATTTTTTCCTCTGGGGTGGGCAGCTCCCTGCCCCCCTGCTTCTGATATAGCCCCAGCTGCATTTTTTAAAGTGGTGCTCAAGTCCTTCCGTGGCTGTAGTTCTATGTATTGCATGGGGAGTCCCTGTTTCTGAGGAACTGTGTAGTTAGAGCCTTTCCAGAATCCTGAAAGGTGGCAGGCTCATGTTCTAATTTTGTGACTTTCTGTCTCTTCATACACTAGTCAAAGGACCTGCTGTAGTAGGCAATAAACTGAGTCGAAGTTTCATTCACTGTCTTCAGTGGGACTTCACTGTAGTACCTGAAATGTTTCTGGTTCTGATCTTTGCACCTGTAGCCTTTGGCATTCTTTGTGCCATCCTGCAATGGCAAGTATAATTGTGAGTACATGAGACAATTGTGAGTATACCTCATTTCCCATGAAGCTTTGCAGCACATTTCTCTATTTGTTGGATTCTGCAACCAGTTCAAGCTTGCCTAGGATATTTTTCCATGGTTTAATCCGGGAGTTTTTCCTACAGTCCCTGTTTTACTCCTTGTCTGGCTCTGTTAGTGAACTTCAACCGTTCTCAACACTGTTATTACAATGGAATGTAGAACTACACTCACCCTTATTTGAGTTCATTGAAGTTTCTTCAAAGATGAAACAGGACTGCTGTGCTGTGTTGATACAGCAGAAGCCCTGTACTCAAGCAAAACTTAAAAGGGCTGACAAGCACGAAAATAGCGATGTAATAGGAAATTATAAGAGGACATATTTTCTTTACATAACAAACTGCTGTTATGTTTCAGTGTAAAGATTTCCAATGTGTGTCTACAGAGCAGAATAAGTTCATTTATGAAAAATGTTTTGTTCTTTGTTTTTTGAACAGTAGCTACAAATAGGTCCTGCCCTAGTGGAACAGTAGTCTTCAGAATTTCGATAGTCTATTCAAAGTGCATCTCTGGTGTTATCTCACCCAGTTACCTAATTTAAATCTCTAACACTATTTTGGAGAAGAGCCATATGGTAGCAGAGAGTGCAAAAATCCATCAAGATTGGCTCTGTATCAAGGGGAAGTTACTTCATCTAAATATCTTACATATCTCCTTGTATAATGAATAAACATTATATACACCATAAAGGTCTACATCCTAATGTTTCTTTCTGTGCCACATATATTGTGCTCACTTTGTAGAAATAGAGTAAATGTGGTTTTTACTTAGACCATCGAAGAGTCTACCAATTTCTTCTGCCTTCCAGGACAGAATTAATCTAAAATAATGGTGTATGGGATTGGATGGCTAAATTATAGCCAAGTAGAATTTGGACTGCTGTGCTGAGTAACACTGTCTGCATATGCTCCAAAATACAGAGCTGGAATTTTAAGCTGTGCCTGGTGCTGAATTACACGTAAAGACATCATGGTCAGAAGGAGAGCCTCAAACTCCAGATGCCTGAACAGAAAATAAAGACCACTAATTTCAAAATAAGTTTTGTTTTGTTTTTAAATTGCAGAATGTAAAGTTTTCTGCTTTAACATGTATAAATTCTAGTATTTGCAATTGCACTAGTGACTCTTGGCTGGCTACTTAATATGACATTTCTGTTGTTTGCATCTCTAAAGGTGATTATGTTGGCTACATGGGCTGCCATGCTAAAAAATGTAGACAGCAAGACTGACTGTGGCATTTGCAGAGTAAAAATGCTAGGGTCTGAGTAAGACCTTATTTTTCAAATAGATTATTATAAATAAAATTGATCTGATAAGCAGAGCAGAAGGTGCAGTGGCCAAAACATAACTGATGAATAATTTGTATAGTTATGTTCACTGTTGCTCATAGAAAAACACCTGGGTTCATAAACTGACAAATACTCCTTAAAACTATTTATGTAAAGGTAAATCATTCCTACGCAGTGAACAATTCTTCTGTAAAAATCCCAAGATAAAATCCCCCATCTTTCTTCCAGTATCTTGTGGTGGATAAGACACTTTTGCTGGGATGAAAATATCACTATAATCTGAATCCTGAAGATTATGTATTTGCAGTACTGAACATCTATTTCGATATATGAAGTATTTTCTTGCTTATATTCCATTTATCTGGATATTCATGCAAATCACCTAAAAAGAAAAAATACATGCAAAACACCTTCTTAAGTTTGTATTTCACTGCAGAAAGGATTTCTGTAAAGATCAAGACCTGCATAATTTTAAAGTAACACCATCCTGTAAACAATTAGCTTTAATGTTTTGTTGGTGAGATGTAACTTTAAGTTTCTATGAAGAGTTGAGGAAAAAAGGGCTTTGCAGTTAAGTTAGGAAACATTTTTTCTTTACTCTCATTCTATTTTTAGTATTTTTTAATGAACTATTTAAATTGTTTTATGTTATTATATATTTGGAGGATAGTATAAATTCTATACTTGCCTATTTTTGAAGTGGAATGAAAGCATATCATTGCAGAAAGTCAAATCTTCATTCCTATCTTTGCCCTCATACAAAGACTGACAGCAAACGCAGCTCTACGCAGTATTTACAGGGGATCCATCTCCTCCTTTTGACGCACATCGTGTGCTTTACTCTTCAGTTAAAAGGATGAGATGGCAAAAATGACACTGTTTTGCATCATCACTGGCTTCTCTACATCCTTCAAGTTTCCATATCTGGCTGATCTACAGAAAAGTAATAAGGACAATAATCAGTATATTGTCTAATTCCGAGTAGATTGTCTAGACAATTTTTAGTAAAGAAACTAGCTATCATAGATCCATGTTTGGCTTCCATTCTTACCAGCCCCCATGAGTATTACAGTGGGATGCCTTGTGTGTGCTGGGAGAGGGGAAGAGAAGGAGGAGAAAGTAATAGTGAAACTGGCCTCGATAAACAGATCCCTGAAACTGGGCTGTAGGGTGTCTGATTTTGAAGCATGTTGTTATGATTTTAAACACCTCAGAAAGTATCTTTTAAATTTGTATATCTATTAGTATGTTCTAGCTGCCATAAAACCAAAAATCTCTCTTGTGATACTCACCATCTTAGTAAAACTCAGTACTTGCTAATTGCAGCGTATGCAGTGACACCACAGCAGCAGGTGACGGAAAGTGCCTTACAGTGACTAATCCAACTTTGTACATTAGATTTTAGAAGCTCTCCAGCATCTTGGCATGCTTGTTGGAGGAAGCTAATTAAATTACTGTAACAATGAACAGAATAGTTTAGTACCTGTTAACGTAACAGAAGCAGTCTGGAATTTCCTGGTAACAACAGAAACTGGAACTTAAGTGGCACTTAAGTAACACTAATTAGCAGGATCTTCCTCAAAAATTAGTCCTGCCCCCCCCTTTAGCACCACTATTTGTAGTGACAAGGCATTACTCTACAAGTAGTAGAGCACTCTAAAAACAAGTGCACAATACGGCTGTAGCAATTAAGACAAAATTGTCTTATTTTAGATTTTGTTTTCAAAGCTTAGTGAATATATGTACCTTATGCTTAAAAGTCAAAACATTCAACTTACTACATGGTCCCCAGCTCATCTGGCCCAGGACTGAACATAATATCCTAAAAATGTCTATCATCAGTCTTAAGAATCTGCTACAGTAAGTCTAGGATGTAATGAGACAGAACGGAATTAGTTTAAGTAATAAATGTTTAATCAAAGAATTTTACATATTATTAACAGCATTCATTTGGCCAAACATCTACATGGTTGTAGTATCCTACTTGTATATAAAGTGGGAATGTATCAAGTATAGACTATGAAAGTGCAAATAACAATTCAAGGTTAGAGTAATTTTTTTACATTATAAAATTAACAGGTTTACAAAATAGTCTTGCCAAACTTTATTTTTGAATTGTAAAGTCAATGACTATGGTGTTAAAATAAGTACCAAGAAAATACAAATTTAATAGGCTAATTTCATGCTCATAAGAGTAACACGGAAACAATGGATACACTGCACAACCTAACCAAATTACAAAAAACCAGAACCCACAAACTTCACTATCTTCACAGAGAGCACTCTTACATATCTTACTGTAACTTTGCAAGACATCTCAATGCAATACACAATCTTTTTGTGAGAATCTTTCTTCCTTGAATTGTAATTTCTATGTGAGTTGAACAACTTTCAGACCAATTCATGTTTTAGCTGAAGGATTTTATACCATAGAACAATTTTAAATAGGTATTTTTCAAAGATGCCCAAATGTTCATGATTATGTCAGGAGTAAGGCAGCTAGAGGAAAAGTTGGAAAATTATTTGAGACTATTCTATTGCATTCTCTCTAAAGATGCTTGCAAAATGAACTAGATTTTTATGGGGTGAGGGTAAAAGATTCTTATTTCATTTTTTACTAATATGAACCTCATTACTGCAAGGTTCAAAAGCTGGATTTGCATGAATTAGTTACCAAAACACTCACTTGAACTCACAGTAATCAATACATAAACTTTGCTATCATGACACTTGCCTATACATACTCAGTAGTAATAAACTTTTATATCATATCAACAAATCTCTGGTAACAGTTAAGCAAAACTTAAAATGGAGTGTATGCAATTTGCTCATGTTATGACAAGTTTTGATTATATGTAATTAAAACAGCCATTTCAACAACTTACTCTAGTTGTAATTACATACTGTACCATTGTATCTCACTAACTGTAGATTGATGCTTTTAAGCAATTCTAAAACCAGTTTTTTTTTTTTCACGGTACAACAACTAGGAAAAGGGGGTTTTGTGGTTTGGTTATTTTTTTTTAAATTTTTTTTTACACTAAACAGTAATCACACAGCAAATGAAAATTGTGCAATTGAACAAATACCTAGCAGTGTTTTGTTTATGCAAAAACACTGACTGAACATTTATTTATTTACTGTAAAGGCAAGGCCATGGGTGGTTTTATGGAGGTCTTTGCAATTAATAGCATAATTACTCCAGAACAGACACTGAATTTGAATTACTTGTTTAACTGTGGCAACTATCCAGTTGGGTTAGGCAAAGGCACCGTAACATGTTGAACAGAATGTGTTATCTGAACTTTAATTGTGGGACCGGCTAATATATGAAAATTCTGTATTCCTATGTTTTTATAAAATGTTATTAAAAGTAATTGCACCACTAGTGCATAGAATGCTTTGTAGAATTATGAAAACAAAGAACTATGATTGCACTTCCATTAAAGTGTCTCTTAAAATACAGCATAGCTGTTGCTAACTCACTGTATTTTAATATTTAAAATAACTGTTTAACAGCAGCATTAGGTTTTATTAACTTAAGATACAGGCTACATTTAATTAAATGCAGTCACCATGGCAACATATGCCAGTTAAATTTAGAGAAGCAATGCTACCCAGTGGTTTCTTTCACTGCTAAGAATTGTAGGATTAGTTTGATAGAGTAACACTGCACTGTTTCGTTAGGCTACCGCCAGCTAACTATTCACAGTTTGGCACATCTGGACTGTAAATAGACATGAAAAAATCTTTGATTTTAGTGGGAAAGAATATCCCCTAAAACTTGTTCCTGGAGCAGTACTAAAGAGAAGCATAAATACCTCCGTTCACACTGCTAACAAAAATGAACAATGAGTAAGGAAAAGTTACGGAAAACAAAAACAAAATGCAAATGAATTGCTAAATGTTATTTTGGTGAAAGAATGAGTTCTAAAAAATGGAATAAACTATTTCTTAGGAAAACCAACCAAAATAATCAGTGTAAGCCTTTAATCTGTACTTTCAAGTTAAGGATCATCAACCTAAGGCTAAACAGATGCTGCATTGTATTAGGAATGTCGAATACAACCTACTTATTCCTCTTTCTTGAGAGCAAAAAGGCAAGGACTACCTAATTAAATGCAAAGGATATTCCTTGAAAGGTTCACATTATTATAAAGAACTACAATTCAAGAGAACTCCTAAATATCTGTTGTTTCATCAGTGGTTAGAACTGAGCTGTAATTAGGTGGATCAAAGCCTCCGTAATGCTTACTCCACACACTGTACGATCTGTCACTGCCATTCATTTACTCCAGATTTTGTTTTTATTCATACCAGATGCACATGTTCAATCCACTCACTTGAGGTTTGAGGAGTCTGACTTGAAGTATCTCCTGAAGCAGCCAGGGTGCTTGTTACCTCCCTATTATTATCGCCACTTTGTGATACTGTTTCACCTGGAATAACGGTTTCTTCAGAAGGGCCTTCCTCTGTTTGGGTTCCTCTGCCTTCATTTTTGAGTGCATCCTCAAACAGTGCATGCTTTTCCTGAGGCTCCAGCCCTGTGTCTGTAAGATTTGGTTGCCCTGCTGACCCATCTTCAGTACTGGGTTGCTGTGAATCCTCATCCGTTTCTGTACTTGTTGAGGGGATCAGAGCAATACTCTGTGGGTTCATGTCATGAAACCAGGCCATAATATTTCCAAGTAGATTTTCATTGGTGTTGGGATCTTGACTGCTGGAATCAGCGTCACTAGATGTTGAGTATAATCCACTTCTTGTATCGCTGCAGGGGTGTGAATGAAGATGATCAGCTGAAAAGGGATCATTGCCTGTGCCTAGTCTCATCAGACTGTCACCAAGTTCTAACAGCTCAGAACTGCTTAACGCGCCTCTTGGATTATCTATACTTATCGGAGCAGAGTCCAGTCTTGTAGGCAAAGAGGTACCTATTGCTCCTAAAGATGCCTCATTATTTAGAAAGTCTCTAGTTTCTTCATCTATGGCCAAGCCAGATTCTTGTAATGATAACTGAATAGCTAGTAGGATGTTTGGGTCATCTTCATCCAGAGAACTCAGAGCCTGTGGAAATACATAAGGTTGCTTTCAGAATAAAACTTTCATCTTGTTACATATGTTGGATGAAAAGTAATTTTGGGCTCAAATCTGAAATTAATTCATTATTCCTACGTGTCATTTATCAGAATCAATTTTTACTGACATAGTTGATAAAAGAATTTAAAAGGTGACTATTGTTACATTAGTGATTGTTTAGCAATTCTTACCAGTGTGAATGTATAACTTGTCCTAGATTCTCCTTTTCTCATCGAAGAATTAAGAAAATTTGCAGACAGGCAAAGTGACACAGAAAAGCAGAGCAGAGGAAGGCAAGCAAAGCAGAGAGAATGGAAAAGAGATTAGGGGAGATACCTGAAGAGAATCCTGGTTTTCAGAGCGACTGACAGGGGTATAGTCATGAAGCGAAGAGCTGCGCAGAATACCCATAGAAGCTGAACTCACCATGGAGGTGCCATGTCTTCTACTACTGCCACCTTCCTGAGTGTCTGTTTGGGCAATTGAAACAAAACCAGATGAAGAATCAGTGAGGAAGTCTTCTTCACTATTATTTACTGACAGAATTTCTTCCTTCCCTTTGGATTCCAGCTGTGTAATTTTATGTCTTTATTCACACTGAATGAAATAATCCAGAACACTCCTTCCACACCAACTTTTACACAGTGGCAAAACACCAGTCCCACTGTTTTAGGAGTGACTGCCTGGCTCATTTGTGCCTTTCTGCTCTCAATACCATTCTCCTTCTCTTTGAAAGGATAGAGTATGCCATCAGGAGCATGAGCCTGTTGGCAGGAGGGGTAAAGTGCTTCTAAGGCACGTACATGATTTATGGGAAGTCCTGAAAAACACTGCACATGCACACAACACAGGATGCATTTACAGGTGGATTACAACCAATGTTTGCCCATTTCTCTGTTCTTTCGAAGACGACTCAGCTGTAATGTTAACATTACATTAATTTTTACCGTAACATTGCAGCACAATTAAGAGTAGAGTCATGAGTGTATACCTCAGCAATTACTGACATTGCTGTTTTCTTAAAACAACCAACAAAAAAACAGAAATAAAATGCTGTTTCCAGACTGTTCTGTGATTAAAATAAATGTTGACTTTGGAAAACGCAATTTTCCACTTCAAAACTCAAAATGAAATAAGGTGAGACAAACTAATTCCCTCTTGCATGCTTTAACAGTATGCACTGGTCATCACTACAATATCGAAGTGTTCAGTCAAGTTCTAGTACTCAAATTAACAAGATGGTTTTGCATTTTACTTGTAATAGGGAAGGACCAAAGCTCACCAAAATTAAGAATACATGTTTATTTCTCCTCAGTAAAGGATTTCTCCTTTTGTTTTTAAAAGACAAGCTATGTATTGGATTTAAGTTCGTGAGGCACAGCGATGAGAGTTCGTGCAGCGCAGCATGGCTTAGAGACTAAGCATACAACTGGCAGCACTGAAGAAACAGCGTCACAGCATGATTTGGATTCGAGCTATTTTTGTACCTTTGCAAAGGTCGTGGCAGAGCGGAGACAGCCCAGACAGCCAAGTTACAGTGACCTTAAGGGACTGCGCTACCAGCCGTAGCACTGCTTAGAAAAGCAGCATGCTGGAAGTCATAGCTCATGCCAACTTGCTTCCTGGCTGTCTTTGCCAACACAGGAGTTTCTGAGCAGGGTTACAGCCTTATGACTTATTTTCCAGCAGGCCTGTAGCAGAGGAACCCTCTTCTACACTCTATGCACAACTGGTCTTTTTAATTGGCATGAAAGAGCTGGTATATAGATAAGGCTGTGGTATGAAGTATGTGCCCTTCAAAATGTCTTCAGAAAAGCAAACCTGCCCTAAATAGCTGAGGAGTTGTTAGTGAGAAGATCAATGCATTTCTCTTTAAAAAGAGGAGCAACCATAATGAAGTCAGCAACACTTCTAAGGTCACGTACAAAAATGCAAAAATAACCCTTTATATTGTATCCTGGAAAATACAGCAATGTATTTGAAACTTCTTTAAAGTGTATCCACAGAAGAACAAACACTATGGTCACTACTAGCAATTTCTGAAGTAGGAAGAGGAAAAAAAAACCAGCCCCAGGCAGGAACATACCTAATGTACTCTCACTGGGGTCATCAGGATCTGGAGTATTACTCAGCAGACTGTGCATGTCTCCACGTCGACGCTGTCTGTGCCTCCTCCGATACTGAAATTCAGCATATTCCTGCATAAACCAAAGGTTACAAAATACAGGGCAGCATGCAGTAATATTTTTCTGATGTAACAAGCACCACATTTTTATAAAAAATGTGTGATTTTATGTTTATTATAAAATCACCTGTTTTCAGAAAAATAAATTGCAAGTTATATCATGCAATGCTTAACATAAATAATAAAAAAAAATTCCAAGGTAATCCTAAATCTATAGAATAATGAATTAGCAAAAAAAAAATACATGACATATTACCAACATTTTAATACTTGCAATCTCCCTTTTTAAAGAATTCCAAGTACAAATTTTTTGTTTAAAAGCTTGGATGCCAAACTTTATATACACGCACATTGACACACTTTTAAATAAATATATACCTAGTGATTTTAGAACATAAAAACAATTAATCTGAATTAGAGCAATAGATTATCTCAGAGTCCCTGTGGTCAGCAATTGCCAGTAGAAAACAGCCTTTGGAAGACTACAGAAGGCTGGCAGACATACACCAGGACTTGTTATACATTTCCCAGCCTCCAGGACACTATGGCTCAGGAACTTCTTAAGCCACAGCTGATACTCTTCTACTGAACAGTCTTTGATGGATTTTTATTCCATGAGTTACAAATCTCCTCTATTTTTGCCTAACTTGAGCTGCTAATGAGCCATACCATACCAATTTGAACTCCTGCAGCGTGTAATTTCTCATGTTGTGTGTATTTACCAAAGACAGTTTATATAATATTTATGGAAAAGACTCATTTTTGACCACATCAAGCTAACATCCCAAGGGTTAATTATCTTAATACTTGGAAATAAAAGTTGTGATTTCCATACCTTTCCTAATATTAAGATACTAATGTTATACTTTTAGGCAAATTTCCAGATATGTTTTTTGGTTAGCACAGCTGACACTGAACCTGACTGTGTAAGTAAGATCTTTTGTCATCTTCAGTTATTCATTTACGCAAGGCAATAAAAATATACACATGGGTACTAGCTCTTCTCTTCAGCAGAGCCCCAAGTTGGGAAATCTGTAATCCAAAGGCTTCATTTGGCCAAAAGAATTGCGAAAGATAACATTAGCGTTAGTTTTCCCCTCTTACATTAACTCTTCATCCTAGAATATCTCAACATCTAAAGTATCTGAAAATTAAATCCAGAAGTGTAATTTCTCATACACAATGACCTTATTAATTTTGATAGTATTATGATGGTATGTTGTCTTTCCGTGAACTGTTTCAGACCAAGTTCTTACTCATAATGACATATGCAAGCCAAAAAGAATAGTTACAAAATCATTAGTGTGGGCAGATTTTTATCTATGTAAGAAGATCCATGAAAACTGTAAGAACATAAAAACAGCTGTACTGGACCAGACAAAAGGTTCATTTAGCCCAATATTCTGTCTTCAACAGTGGTTAGTAGTATATGCTTGTTAGCTTATGGAATAGCATAAAAACCAGGGCACATATGAAGTGATTCTTGAAAATATTCTTCCAGCTCCTACAGAGCTCAGGGATTTCCTAAATGGAAGGCGATGCCCCAAACAACAGAAGATCAAAACTTGATATGGAACAGTATAACTGAATTATTTTAAAAATATGTATTACTATGAATCAGACAGGAATAATGGGAAGTGATCCCTGAACACTAAGATTTATTAGTCATATCAGATCTTATCTCACATCTGTTTGCAATAAAATCATAGATTTTACCAACAGCCATTTAACTTTTGGTTGGTTTTTAACCTTTAGAAAGATATCTTAATTACTTCTGATAAAAATTTATTTCTGATTACTTGGAACAATTTTATACATGTGAGCAAAAGAAGTTTAATTTTGTTGGGTAGGAACATCATGGTTTCACACAATGGTCTACAACAAGCAGTGTTCCTTGCCAAAACCAGTAAGGTTTTCTGTAATAATCTGGTATGCACAGTTATTCTACTACTTGTCAGTAAAAGTACAGCTCTATGCAAAAAAATTTAGTACTGAAATTCACTAAAATAAACAAAGATGACCATTATTCATTCTACAAAATTCCTTTAGCATAGGTGGTTGCAAGTATCCTTGATAGCTATGTAGCAAAGAAACCAATTTGCATCATACAGTGCCACATTTAGGCAAATCATAAAAACTCATCAGCACCTGTCTAAGCAGGACTGCAATGGCATGTACTGCTAAACAGCTTATCAACATATTTCTTATCAGCTTTTTCTCATAACCAGTTCCATCCATACAGTAACATCACAATGAATTTGATATTATCAAATGTGGAATTATTTGAAAAGAAAGGACTAAAGGAACAAGACAGGAGAAGCAAATTGATCTTCTGTAGAGAAGCAAGCTATTTTCTTACCAGCATGATGATCACCAACAACAATAGCAAAGGAAATATATAGAAAGAGTATATGGAATTTTCCAGGATGCTTCAAAATGACTAGCTAGAAATAAAACAGCACCAAGGAAATGCTGAAATGAAGTTTCCTTCCTAACTGAATGCTTTAATCTAATGTTCTCAAGATATTAAATAAAAATTAAGATGATAAAGAAAAGCTTTATAGGAAGCTTCTTCTATTTTAGTGCAGAGTCTCAAAAATTATTTATTCTTTCCTATGTATAGATAGTGGAATATTCATTTTAAAAATTATAATTTTCATTCTTGTTTAAGTAGCAGAAGTTCATCTCATTTGAGTATGCAGTTTCCATCCTGCTTCAATACATAAAAAGAAACATTTGAAACAGTTAACAACATTTAGGTGTATACCTGTATGTTTTTTGTTGGATTGTACAAAAGGATGGAAATTTCTTAGACTTTTTGTCAAATTCTGCTGAA